TTCCTAGATTGAAATCAACGGCCAGTTCCCTGCCATTGTCCATGACCAAGACGAGCTTTCAAGTTGAAAGACATCGGCTGTAGTTTGATCTGAACAGGGATAGGGTCAGTAGTGGCATCCTACCGCGCGAACCGATTGTTAAAATTATTAAAGCTTAGTGAATTTTTACAGCTAGGATGATTTTTCTCAATCTGAAAATTAGCCAAACTTGATAAAGATTGGCAAGGAATAAAGGAATAAGTAAAAGACAGGATAAAAGACACGAGGAACTAAAGAGAAAGAAATGGAGGAAACAAAAGAGTGAGGGAATTAATAAAAATAAATGAAAATTAATAAATAATCTATTCACAGTTGAGTTGGCTATATGTAGACGTAAGTTCAATGCTGACATTGTCCGGGGTAAGACGATAAACTACATCCACGTCCTGGGTAAGACGATAAATTACGTCCGCGTCCTGGGTAAGACGATAAACTACGTCCGCGTCCTGGGTAAGACGATAAAATACACCCAACAGCAAGGCCTCTGATCAGGAGGTTTTGAGGAGCGTGGAACCACCTCTTAATTGCTGGTATTCTTAAGTCTATCCTGACCCGGGGTGGTAGCACCTGTTAGGATCCTAGCTATGGCCAAATAGTTCACCCACAAACAAGGGTCAAAACACTATGAAAGTGTGAAAATAGGTTTTAATACCAGCAATATTTTGTAAAAAATTACCAGCAATAAATTTTTGGAGAAAAAATATTACCAGCAATACATTTTCGAAAAAAAAGTTACCAGCAATAAAAATCATGTCGACATTAAATAACCCATTGCGATTGATATGCCGGGAGACAAAACAAACCAAACCAAATCGATGCTGACTTTTCTTTTCTCGCACTTCTCGTTTGTGGAACTCTCTTCCGGTTGCATGCATTCCAGCCAATTTTAATCTGCAAAAATTTTAATGCAATGTCAATCATTATCTACTTTCCACGTGATTGATCTTTTTTATTCCAAGCTCATTATTAATGTTTCTGTTCCCGATTCTTCCTCATCATGTAAACCCTTGTGCCTTAGTGGCTTTACTGCCTTGCATGGGGTGAAACCGATTAAAAACAAAAATGAACGAACAAAAATGTGTTACGAAGAAGAAATGGGGACAAAGAATGAGAGAAAGAAAGAATCGTACAAGAGGAAGAATGAAAGAATAAAAGAATGAATGCATGAAAGAATGAAGGAATGAAAGAATGAAGGAATGAATAAGACATTCAATAAATCTTAAAAAAATTATAAAAAGAAATCATTACGGAAGAAAAGAAAAGAAATTAGAAAAAAAATTAAATAATAAAAAAAAATGGAATGAACAGAGAGAAAATAAAAAAAGAAATGAAGACACCGATTTCGTTGTAACACAGGTTGTGGCAGAAATGTCTTCCATATAATCCCTTCAAGATATACCTCCTACATTATGGTAAGATATTAGTGCGAATAATTTTTTTATTACCCTTTTGTTTGGCAGTGAATGTTGCATAATTTCCCCAAAGATAAAGAAGAGATTTGAATCAATCGAAATGTGCCTGTTTATATTTCTGAGATGAGTTATTGTAACTATTTACACTATTTACATTGTTCGGACTGTTGTCTTCATCTTTATTGCCATATTCACGACGTTTCGGCCGTTTTTTCAGGGTCTTTCTTTATTTCTGAGATGAGGTATTGTAACTATTTAAACTATTTACATCATTTGGGCTGTTGTCCTCATCTTTATTGTCATATTCACGTTTCGGCCGTTGCATGATCCGGCCTTCTTCGCGATCTGTCTATATTTCTGAGATGAGTTATTGTAACTATTTACACTATTTACATCATTCGGGCTGTTGTCCTCATCTTTATTGTCATATTCACGACGTTTCGGCCGTTGCATGATCCGGCCTTCTTCCGGATCTGTCTATATTTCTGAGATGAGTTATTGTAACTATTTACACTATTTACATTGTTCGGACTGTTGTCTTCATCTTTATTGCCATATTCACGACGTTTCGGCCGCTGTAAGCTCCGGCCTCCTTCAGGTGATTGGAATTTCGAACAGAAGCCTTTATTTCGCCCAACGGGCTTTGATTGACAGCCAGTCTACGAGAAAGACTACTCTCGATTTAAAACTTGTGGGTAGAACAGTTAGAATCCACCCCGCTATATTTTCCAAGAAGTCATAATTCAAAGATAATAAAGGAAAAATAAATCTCAGGAGATCCTTGATCACCTACGTCCAAAAGGGATCAAGAATTTTAAATAAATTATTGCGTTAGGCTAAGTAAAAATACCAAATGTCTGCGACATATATGAAAATTATTAACGTTTCTTACTTAAAGCAACAGAAATGTGGTTCTACAGAAGGATGCTGAGGATGCATTGGACTGAATATGTGAGCAACGACAAATTTTTAATATATATGGAAACAAATAGAGGATATTTATTTACACTATTTATATCATTCGGGCTGCTGTCCTCATCTTTATTGCTATATTCACGACGTTTCGACCGTTGTACGCTCCGGCCTTCTTCAGGTGATTGGAATTTCGAGCTGAACCCTTTATTTCGTACAGCGGCGTATACTGTTCTAGTTCCACGTTCTATGCCTCTTCTGGGTGTTTCCGTTATCTCCCTTTAACTCCACTCTGCAAGATTTTGTTCACTACTGCAAGTTTTGAACTAATAATTCTTTGAGTCAAGTCACTGGATCCAACCAAAGTTTTTATCCACCTGGCCATGTGTCCTGAAGAAGGCCGGAGCGTACAACGGCCGAAGCGTAGTGAATATGACAATAAAGATGAGGACAACAGTTCGAACAATGTAAATAATGTAAATAATAGAAATGTGGTTCTAGAGGAAGATACGGAGGATACTATAGACCGATCTGTGAGCAACGACGAGGTTTTAGAGAAAATGGAAACAAAAAGGAAACTTATACTTTACATCGAGAAGAGACATTTGATATTTCTAGAGCACATAATGAGGAAGGAGTGCTTGGAAAATCTGACACTCACAAGACAGATTGAGAGCAAGAGTGACAACGGAAAACAATGTATAACATGAGCTTAATTAAATGGATAACGGAACGGGATTTAGAAATAACGTAAAGATATAATTTATTTGGACCTGCAAAGGACAGGAAATTGTGGAGAGCCGTGATCGTTTACGTCCTGAGGGGTCACTGCACATAAAGAGAGAGAATATATTAAAATTATGTGGGAGATATTTCTGCCACATACTGTATAATGTTTATTTTCCCCACAGATGTTTTTGATTGGTATTCGAACCCACGGCAGGTATGCTCTTCTGACTGACAAGATTGGGTAAACTCAATCTTGTTCTCCACTATTTCCCTTCGTTTGTCTTTGTGATGTATATAGCTAACCTAGGAAATATTTTAAAGGAGAAGAAGGTCGAAGAGGAAAGTGGAAGAGAAAATAAGTTACCTTCTTCCGCCAACAATTTCAGTGACTACTCTCCAACTAAAAAAAAAAAAAATGCAGACACCCAGAGTATCATTAAATTATCTTACTGTCTTGATTCAGTGTTTCCTCGTCGGAAACAATAATGGAGAAAATAACGGGAAAAATCTATGGCATTTACACCAAGGATTTTTTTTCAGTAACAAAAAATGTAGATTAATGCGATGAAAATCGATCGGAATTGAAAGACTGATATTTAAATTCTTCTGGCTGTACACATCCGCTTAGACATTTATATTTTCGTGTTCGATTTTCTTGTTCTGAGATTGAAAGACAGTTCAATGAGTAAATTGATCGATATTATATTAATCTAACATTTCGATCAGACGCAAAGAGACAGACAAAGTAATCAATTTTCTAACAAATCTAATTGATAGATACGTTGATACCGAGAACGTCAAAGTAACTGGACTCATAAACAAAGCTTATTAGAGGTAATTGTACTTGAAATTGGGAAACTAGCAATCAGAACTAATACAGTGATGACTAAACTGGACTGAGATGCACCACGGTTGACTGATTGATTTGTTTTTTACGGTTTATCAACCCATTACAGGTTATTTAAAGCCAGAAAATATTTTAGATTGTATGAATTTTTTTGGAGATAATAATTGTTTAGTAATACAAGTCCTATTAATTAACCCATAGCGGGGAAGGATAAAGGGTGACTTTATACCTTTCCTAAGGGTATTTGCACGTAAGTGGATATAACACACCAACGGAAATTGGAACTCAGCTGTCCGATTAGCAATTCTGAGCTATTATCCATTACACCACGCACCATCCAATCTTACAGCATCTGGTATTCGCAAGCAGTCACCCATCTAGGTACTGTCCAGGTTCAACGTTGCTTAACTTCGGTGATCATGCAGGAGCGGTTTTTCATCGTGATATAGCTGTAAGCCAAGATAGAGCACAAGGAATAGTACAAGGAAAAGAAAGAGAAAAAAGTATCATTCTTATTCTTATTTTCCTTTTAATCATTTTACCCCAAGTAAGGCAATAATGTCACTAAGACGCAAGGGGTTACTAACTGGGAAAGAATATTAAAAAAAAGAAAAAAAAATTATTAAGTAGAGAGAACAATAAAAGAACGTGAGACAAGAATTGATTTACTAATTTAAGGAATGCACATTTCTCGTTGGGGCTTCTTCGAATCTATATCTACTAGCTTCAGTTTTGTACCTGAAACGTAAACAACAGTCATTTGTGATTGCCCGAGTGGCTAGAACATTTCTTCCCCACCATGAGACCCAGGTTCGAATCTCACCATGGTTGATTTGTTTGGAAGATGACTTCATGATGTTATTGGCCTGAGTAAGCGATCCTAGCACCCGACACCATTGTAAAGGGCCCGAAAGCCATACCACGGCTTGACAGAAGCCCTGTAAGTGAAATTGGGCAAACGGAACAGTTCGGAAGCCGTCGATGGCTGCACTAGCACGAAGTTATAAGTCATCGTGGCCGAGGGTTTGAGTGTATTAGCGTCCATATTATCGTGGCAGATAATGCTCTCTCTCTTTCTTTCTCTCTCTCGCTCTCTCTCTCTCTCTCTCTCTCTCTCTCTCTCAGAAACTGTAACTGATATTCGCTCAGCATAGTTGCAGTATAAACCACAAATTGGCTTTATCTATCTCAATATATCTATATCTTTGTATCTACCTAGCTTTATATATAATATATTATATATATATATATATATATATATATATATATATAATATATTTTTGGTATATATATACCAACCTATCTATCTTTGTCTGTATGTGTATTAATAAAATAAGAATATCCCATCTCCCCTCTCGCTTGTAACCATCCACTATAAGAAAATAAACGTTTTTCAGCTAAAAACTGAATTAGTCAAACAAAGCTTCATAACCTTCTAGAGTTGTGACTATATAACATTAAGCCTGTCTATCTCAGTTTGTTCATATCTTTCTTAATAGATAGCTATTTAGCTATTCCATATATTTGTATCTCTACATTCCAGTCTGCTCACATCTATCTATCTATCTATCTATCTATCTATCTATCTATCTATCTATCTATCCCGGTCTTTTCATAATTTATTATCTGTGTTTTCGTCTGTATGTGTAGTAATAAAATAAGCACATCCCATCTTCCCTCTCGCTTGTAACCATCCACTATAAGAAAACGTTTTTCAGCGTTAAAACTGAATTAGTCAAATAAAGCTTCACAACCTTATACTTAGAGTTGTGGTTATATAACTTTAAGCCTGTCTGTTTAACTCACCCTGTTCATATCTTTCTCAATAGATAGCTATCTAGCTATTCCATATATTCGTATCTTTATACTCTAGTCTGTTCATATCTATCTATCTATCTATCTATCTATCTATCTATCTATCCCGGTCTTTTCATAATATATCAAACTATATTCCAAAATATAATTACAACATAAAAGACACATCACTGCCTCTAGTAATTA